GGGAGCTCACTGATTTGTGAACAATCCGTGTGATATATGTCTCCTAGTGTAACTCTTAATGATTTCTGTTGTGATATAGTTATACTTTAAGTGCCATCACATCCTCGCTTTTGATTTATACTTTTGTTACATATTGGTTAATACTCGTCTTGCAATGGAAACAAGCATTGCACGACTTATTCAAGGTATCTTAACAATTATTTGTTTCCCGTATGCTCCGGTGCTGCATATGGAGCCTTTGTGGGAGTTGTTAGTAAAGCGACTTTGCTTCTCCCATATCGGTAACATTCGAGATGGAATATTTGAAATCCGATTAAGGAGCCCAGCTTGCTTCTCTGATTGCTTGTTTCTCCTGCTTTCTATAGATGGGGACGACTGGGTTTACCTTCTCTTCTCATCCATGTATCCACCACACTGCACACTAATATAAATGACGAGTATTCGTTTATACCCCTGTTTACATGCAACAGGATACATAGCAAATAAGACAATACTCCTATGAATGTACCTAATAATATGTCATTACTTCCTGACAAGTTGTTACTACAACATGTTCTCATTTATGTGCTGATGTATGGAGGCTCAATTCCATATATTTCAGAACTATGGGGGCTCAAGTCAGCATTGAAGAAGACTCCATGAGGAGTTGAAACACATCTGCTTAATTTTTGTATGTTTTGGGGACTTCTATATATTATTTCTTTTGCGGTGGCTTCTTGTATTAATTCTATTTCCACTGCTTACTTTGTCCCAATATTTAAATTTTCCTTATAATAAAGGCATTTACATTTATCTTGGAGCCTCCATCTCCAGTATTTACACCACCTTAGCCTGTATAGGCACGTTGGAGAGCATTACACAGAGTCTGTGAGCCATACAGCTCTATGATGTGTGAGTTGTATTCCACCGTTTAATACTCGATTCTTTTATGTATACAGAAAGCACTATGTGTTGTTTTTATGTTTTTTTTTTAGATTTCCCTGCTTGATTGCAACACAGGGATATGTATTATATGTATATATGTTTTAGAATTTTTCTTTGCTTTTTATTTAGTGTGTACACTCTTTTTATTGTTAATAGATATAATTATAGTGGTGCAAACTTGACATTATTTTAATAACAGTGTAAGAAACTCACATAAAATAACTGTGTACTTTCCTACACCAGGAAAACTTTCAACACGTTCCCTCTGGGCCTAATGGCTACTAACCACTAAACATTAATTTTCTCTAGGTGAATAAAGAGGATCATGTTACATATTACTATCCTCTTATTTTATATAAAGTCTGTATATAATGGCTATCTTCCTCTAAAGTTTAGGCTCATTCAAGCAGGGTCCTTATCAACCTATTGTTCCTGTCAAAATTTGTAATGTTTCATTTGTTGTTGTATATTCCCTCCTTTATATTATTGTGAAGAGCTATTGTAAGTTGAAACTGTATAAATCGGCCGCAAATTTGACATGCTTTCTCTACACTACTCAGAATTCAAGAGTTAGGCATCTTCAATACTTACAATACTAACATTAGTACTCTCCAGTACTTTGAATACAAGGAGTAACCATCTATAGTACTTATGATACTAAATGTAGGCCTTCATGCCTCTTTAAGATCCCAGGGTAGACCTCTACATTACATAGGATACAAACGGTACGCCTCTAAACTGCTCAAGATACAAAAGATGTCTATCTTGAGTAGTGTAGAGGCTTACCCCTGTCATCTTTAGAGGTATAGAGATCTACCCTGTGTACCCTGAGTAATCTAGAGGCTTCTCTATCATATTCTGAGGGCTATACTACTCAGGATACAAATGATGGCCCAATACCCAGAATACAAGGAGATGCCCTCTGCAGCACTCAAGATACAAGTTGTAGACCACTACAGCACTTGTGCTGAAAGGTGTGGACCTCCACAGTACCTAAGATAAAAGGACTAAACCTATATTGTAATCAGGATACAATAGATAGGCACTACTCAGGAAACAAGAAGTAGGACTCTACAGTATGTAGGAAACAAGGGATTTGGTTCTGTGTTTCTCCATAAAGATGCAATAAGCCTCTGTGGTACTGAGAATTGGGCCTCAATGCACTCAGGATACAAGTGGCATGCCTCTACAATACTCTAGGATACAATAAGTCTCTACAGCGCTCCTGATACAAGGAAATGCCTATATAGTACCCAGAATACAACTGGTAGGTCTATATATTACTTAGCATGCAAGGGGATAGCCTCTGTCACTCAGCATACAAGGTTGTTGGCCCCTACAATGCTCAGATACAAGAGGTCAGCCTCTTCAATTCTCAAAATGCAGTGCTCTGCAGCACTCACCATGCAAAAGGTCTGCGTAACAGGCATTCAGGATACAAGGTGTAGGTGCCTACATTAATCAGGATACACAGGTAGGCCTTTGTAGTACTCCAGAAACAGAGGGTAGGCCTCTATGATGCTCAACATAGAACTGAAATTGAAGACAAGGTTTGGGTGTTTATGATATTTAGAATACAATGGTTTTACATCTGAAGCAATCAAAATATAAGGGATAGGCCTCCACAGTACCCAAAATACATGGGATAGACCTGTACCGTGCTCAGGATACAAGCGGGAATGCCACCTTGCTTTATGAGGTATACACAGGATGCAAAGGACAGAGCCATGTATCACACAGCATATAAGATGTACCCTCTACACTACTCAGGATTCAATGGGCAGACCCCCACATCACTCAGAATACAAGAGGTTGCTTAGAGGAATTTTGGAAGGGGGGGGGGGGATTGAATCCTTGAGTGTTGTCCTGAAAAGCTATGGAACCAATTTGACAATTTTTCATTGTTAACCCCTTTGAAATATTATTTTTGACAGTGCAAATTTGGTGCAGCATGGCTCAAAATCAACACAGGATAAGGAGTTTGTAAATATAAATTCCCATTCACACTGAATTCATTCAAGCATTTGGTGTTACAATCACAGTTATAGAACATATTAGGATTTATGTTTAGGCTTCGGCCATGGTACATTGCTGGTATTGTAAGGGGTTTTGGTTAACATATGCATGAGGGGCCATCGCTTATAGCATTGAGCGGAGTCCCTGGTCTAAGGCTCTCCACTAGCTTCTAGTAATACACATACTTACAAAATGCCATAATACATGGCTGTTCACAGACTTTTTTACTTCTACCTAATTCAGTAAAATTATCTTCAGATAAACAGCCAATTGTTTCATTTTAAATCACATAAATTAACAAAGAGTTAATCCACGTAAAATCCTCTACAATATTACACGGTTATTAGATAAATGTCACAATGACAACACTGAAAGGTCAAGTTACCTGCAACGTTAACGCTGAATAATAATGCATTAAAAACTAAATTGCCAAATTCAGGCCGACATTCTTCAAATTAAACTATTGTCACAGTTACGCTATTTTATTCTGAATTTTGCAATTCAATTTCAATTCACCACAATGCGCTATTTAGTGAATAACTTCCTTGTTTGCATGCATTTTGTGGGATTTGTTGAGAAAGGCCTTTTAGACCTTTTTTTTCGTGTCCATTACATAATATGTAGACAAGTATATTGGATATATATGTCATTTTATAGTTTTAGATATAAATTAATTTGGTACATTTGATATCAGTCTATTAAACTAAGTGTTTTTTATTGCATTATCAGTAGCATTATATTTAAAATTACTGTTTCATTATTCAATAATATGTTGAATTATTTTCAATTTTAATGTTTTAATTAATATATTATACAAATATTTTACAGACTGTTGATCTTAGTCCATCTATTTATCTTTATTGATATTTAGTGTATGTGGATTTGTGATTTCTTAGTAAAGTGATTTAAAACATTATCATATTTAATAAATGTAACATTATGGTGTATTTTACAATTGGAAAGGTAAAAGCAATATACAATTTACATTAGGCTTTCTAAGGAAGATTACGTAATTTCTATATTTCTATAAAAGACATTGGGATCTCTCTAGGTTTAGTTAAATGAATCATGGTTTTCATGTGCAGTTCTCTGTTTTCGTCATTACATCTCTTGAGGATTCACAATCTGTTCTGTCAATACGTTCGTCTCTCGAGGATGCTGTTTGTGGATATATAATTACAGTGGCGGAACCAAGACATCATGTTAATAACAGCGAACGAAAATTACACCGAAAATAACCGTGTTCTTTCTTACAACAGAAAAGTTTCAGCTTTCTCCCTCATGACATAGTGAACTGAACTTTGTTCTTAAACTTTCATCACAATTGCAAATCTATACAGATCAGAACAAATAATGAAAGCCTGCCAATTCTATTTCATATGTAATATGACATTCAAATTCAAAATATAAAATAATAATAATAATAATACATTGTTAAAGAGCTTGGTTACATCTTACATTTAAAATCCAACTTTTATTCTAAAAAAAATAAAATGATAAAATAAAAATAAAATAAAATAAAAATGGCTTGCTTTGTATATTAAAGAAAAAACAACATTGATAATTCAGTGGGCATCCAAAATATTTACCATCTTTGTTAATATAATGTTAAGTGTTTTTTATTTAATGTATATGCTTTCAATTTAAATTGGTTTGAATTGTTACAAATATACAGCATCAACAGAGCAAAAACTAAAAAGAATAATATAATGCTACTGATAATGCAATAAAAAACACTTAGTTTAATAGACTGATATCAAATGTACCAAATTAATTTATATCTAAACTATAAAATGACATATATATCCAATATACTTGTCTACATATTACGTAATGGACATGAAAAAAAGGTCTAAAAGGCCTTTCTCAACAAATCCCACAAAATGCATGCAAACGAGGAAGTTATTCACTAAACAGCGCATTGTGGTGAATTGAAATTGAATTGCAAAATTCTGAATAAAATAGCGTAACTGTGACAATAGTTTAATTTGAAGAATGTCAGCATGAATTTGGCAATTTAGTTTTTAAAACCAAGTCCCCATTGGGACATGGGGACACAGACACTAGCGGCACAATGTCCCCAAGCCAGTGTTCCATGGTGTCTCAGTGTGCCCATGTCTCCCAGTGTCCCTAGTGTCTGTGTCCCCATGTCTCCAAGTGTCCCTAGTGTCTGTGTCCCCATATCTTCCAGTGTCTGTGTCCCCATGTCTCCCACTGTCTCCATGTCTCCCAGTGTCCTCAAGTGTCTGTGTCCCCATGTCTCAGTGTCCCCATGTGTGTCTGTTTTCCCATGTCTTAGTGTCCCCATGTGTGCCTTTGTCCCCAAGTGTCTGTGTCCCTGCATCTCCCAGCATCCCCTAGTGTCTCAGTGTTCCCAGGTCTGTGTCCGCTATGTCCCAGTGTCCCCAAGTCTCTCAGTGCCCCCATGTCTCTCAGTGTCCCCTAGTGACATGGGGACACTGGGCAATATGAGGACACAGAAATGGGGACACTGGGAGACATGGAGCACTGAGATACTTTGATACATAGGGACAGGGCCGGTGCGAGGATTTTTGCCGCCTTAGGCAAAAGTAAAGTTTGCCGCCCCCATGTGACATCACAATGCCCCATCCATATGATCTGCCATGTTAACTAACGCCAGTGCTGCAGTGCTGCCGTGCTGCCGTGCTGCCGTGTTTACATTTAAAGGCCTGCAGGGACAGGCTATAGACACCAGAACCATTACATTAAGCTGCAGTGGTTCTGGGGACTATAGTGTTTCTTTAATGTGAGGTAAATTAGAGATTAGTGCCATGAATAATATACTAGATTGCCTACTTAAAACCAGATGAGGATGAGGATGATGATGGGCTGTAGCTGCAGTCTGGCTCCACTGGTCTGGTGTAGAACAGGCTCTCTGGAGGCGGTTTGTAACTGTGGTCACAAAAATCAATGTTTTGAAGCAGCTCAATTTTTTAGTCCAGATCCTACAGTAATCCATCTGCCATTCCTAGTACGTCTCTGCGGCAGTGGCTTTGCAGCAGTTCCAGCCTGAGTTTGTTTACCAGATAATTTACAAATCTCAGACTTCAAAAATACAATCTCCTGCCGCAAGATAGAGAACTGTCTACAGATTAGACAACAACCAAATCTCCAAAAAGTGGAACGTGAAACAAATGCATAGCAATTGTTACACTGAACTAAGTCTGCCATTCCAATTAGGAGAATAATTTAAATCAAACAAATCTTAACTTTTTATTTATCCTCCTGAATACCTCAGATTACCTCCAGTTTATCTCCAGAATATCTCCAATCACACACGTTGAAGCAACACTTAAATGTAGCAACCAAGCTATATTAGCCAACAGGGCCAGATTAAGAGCCCAGTGGGCCTGGTGCTGACAATTATGAGGGGCCTAAGTACAGAATCTTATCGACCAAAAACACTAAAACAGTGTGCTTTCTGCACACTTGTAAACATTCTAATTGTTTTGCTGCTAATTTGCTAAATGGTACATTTTGGGGCCTGTTCTTCATATCTGTAAGTCAAATCGAAGCGTCAAATAATGTGCTTACTGGGCACTTGTAAACATTCTAATTGTTTTGCTGCTAATCTGCTAAATAGTACATTTTGTGGCTAGTTCTTCATATCTGAGAGTCAAATCGAAACATCTAATAGTGTGCTTTCTGTGCACTTGTAAACATTCTAATTGTTTTGCTGCTAATCTGCTAAATAGTACATTTTGGGGCGTGCACTTCATGTCTTAGAGTCAAATAGAAGCGTCTAATACTGCGTTTACAGCTCAATTGTAAACATTTTACTAGTTTGGTTGATAAACTGCTAAATAGTACATTTTGGGGCCTGTTCTTCATATCTGAGAATCAAATCGAAGTGTCTAATAGTGTGCTTTCTGCGCACTTGTAAACATTCTAATTGTTTTGCTGCTAATCTGCTGCTTATATTGGAGTTTTAAAAAGTAAATACATTTTTTTTTTTTGGCGCTAAATAGTATATTTGGGGTGTTCACATCATATCTATGAGTCAAACTGAAGCATAACTTTGATTCAAATTTACTACATTGGTCACTTGTAATATTGTTTCACACCTACAACAGTTGTTACACAGATCTAAGTGATAGAAAACAGATTGATATTTTCTACACTAGAAACTACCAGATAACAAGCTGCTACATTTAATCCAGTGATCAATAGCTAAGAGGTACTTCAACAATAATGTAATTCTGGGGCAATACCCTCACAAGTCAAACTGAGAGGTCAGTTCATAGGGAAAACTGTTGACTGGATACAATTCTAAAACAATTTCCATATGTCCTTTGCAGACTTTACATGCTGAAAAAACACAGGTGCCAACTGCTGTGGCTTTCTGCAGTGTGCATAACGGCAAGGAGGGCAGGGTTGAGGACTGGGTGGAGGATGATGACCCACATGGATTCAAGGTCATGCGAGTGACGTGTGCAGTTTGGAGGAAGAGATGCTGTGGCACAGAGGCACCAGCACAGCATAAGAGGGAGCAGGGTGCAAAAGCGGAGCGGCCGTCCCCTAGTGCTCGTCAGCATGTATTAGCTCGAGAATTACCAGTTATCCAAGAAATTCATGTAGCGATCAAAGGATCCATAATAGACTTAAACGAACCCGAACTGTAAAGTTTGGGTTCGTACCAGATTTAACGATCCATTCATAGTTTCACAGTGAGGTGGGCAATCCAGTGACCAGGACCCAGACACTGTCAGGATGTGACATTCAATGTAGCGGCTGTGTGTGCTTTTGGCATTGTCACCCTGCTGCTGCTCGCCTGTCTGCGTAACTTTGGCGTAACTTCGGCCTTCCCACTCACCGCCTCATGAGAGTTTGCAAGCAGCAGCAGGCGATAGTGGAGTTACAGCTGCAGCACGCACGGGTCAGTGGCTCTGCACCAGACTTCCCTCCACTTGATCAGAGTTAAAGGATTTCAAGTGGACTCGTTACAATTACAGTGCTTCTAAAGAGTCCTGTACTGTTATTTGTCGTCACTACCTTCCCACATTGGGAGTGCGTCATTTGCCCGCATGCTGCCTTCCTTGCATGTGGTAGCCGTTTCTCAGGGTCCCTGTATGGAATGGAATCCTGATTTCCTGTTACCCGTGGTCACCATGGTAAGCGCAGAAACTGGCATCGAAAGTTGATATTGATGACATCCGCATGCAAAGTCGCCGCTACCGGGATGTGCAATTTGCCCGAGGTTCTCTAGAGTCAACAAAGTTCCTGCGCAACTATAATGTCAACAGCTACTCTGCGGAACAGAGTTGTCTTTTCTTATATGTCCCAATATTTTGGGGGCTTCCACAACAAAAAAAAAACACAAAACAAACCGTGTTGGCTACCTCATCCTCCTCCTCCACTGCTGCTTCCACCTACACCGCCACGGTCACCGCCTCTCTCACCCCACTTAGTATAAACTAGGTACACATTAGCAGAGGCTTGTGAAGGCCTTTTGTCCATGCATCAGGAGATGAGCATTTCTCAATGTATCAGGACTGCAAGAAATGCACCGCGGGCCACAAATGTTTCTTTATTTGTATGTCCCAATATTTTGTGGGTTACCTCAATTAAAAAAAACAAAAAAACATAAAATACAGTGTTGGCTACCTCATCCTCCTCCTCCACCGCAACGGTCACTGCCTCCTTAACCTATGGCTTACTTAGTATAAACTAGGTACACATTAGCAGAGCCTTGTGAAGGCCTTTTGTCCATGCATCAGGAGTTGATCATTTCTCCATGCATCAGGACTGCAAGAAATGCACCGCGGGCCACAAATGTTTCTTTATTTGAATGTCCCAATATTTTGTGGGCTACCACAATTTAAAAAAACAAAAACAAAACATAAAATATAGTGTTGGCTACCTCATCCTTCTCCTCCATCGCCATGGTCACCGCCTCCTAAACCTATTGGTCACTTAGTATAAACTATGTACACATTAGCAGAGGCTTGTGAAGGTCTTTTCTCCATGCATCAGGAGTTGAGCTCAGTTTGAACAATGAAAGAGAATACCTTGCACTCCAACCCTCTCTCAAATTGATAATTCTGTTGATCCTCCTGGCAGCCATGTTTAGATTTTGATTTATGTTCTTCCAAAGCTAAAATCAAAGATTCCATCTAGTGCTATTTTATAGCGCAGCTGTATTTTTATGTTATTTTAAGTGATTTCCCTACCACATTTGTTTGTAGGGCACCTGTCCTACTCTTCCCCCCATTTTACTTCCTTTTGGAGCTCTCTAGCCCTTTCCAGGAGTTTTTTAGGGGCATTTTTGTGGCCAAAAGTTCGGGTCGCCATTGACTTCAATGGGGTTCAATTTCGGGGTCAAGTTCGAGCCCGAACCCAGACTTTTTTTCAAAGTTCGGCCGAACCCGCCGGACCCAAACATCCAGGTGTCCGCTCAACTCTACTTAACTTTAATTAGCTATTAATTAATAGGTTGACAGCAAAGCACTAAGCACTTCTGTCCATGTCTGCTGAAATTACAGATGAATTATGAATAGTATAGTGGCTTGTATACATTTCCTATGAACTTATACAACCTATGAACTTATACAAAGCTTATTTTTTCAATTACCAGTTATTATATTTTTTATTTAACCATGTCTCCATATTGTTTTAGGTAAATTTTAGAAAAAGAAGCAGTGAAGCCACAATTCCACCTATATTAATCTCTCCACTTATATTAATCTCAATATGTTTTATATCATTACTAATTAAATTGTGTTTTTCCTCATTGCATTCTATACTGTTTTTAAGATGCTGTATAAATTTTTTAATCTTTATAATGTATAATTATATCGATATATGTTTTCCTTAATTCAAAAATGCACTGTCAAAATGAAACCAAGTGTTGGTTCACATGTGAGAAGTCCTGTCACAAAAGGACACGTGTCTATAAGAAATCCTGACTGGAAGCACAAGTCCACAGGGTATATATATCATGACAGAAGGACTCCTTACTATCTTGAAAAAGCATGGGCAAAACGTGTTGATGCTGAGGACAAAGTTTACATTTATCTATCTTCTCCCCGCTACCAGCAGCACATTTCAAGCAGTTTGAAGTAACGGCGTCTCTCCGGTTTGGTTACAAATTTTGCGGCTGAGCGAAAGGACTTCACATGGTTCCAGCTGCTCTAACGGAAGGGTAACATTGGCTTATCTACTCACTTCCCATACTGCATGTACTTAATAGTGGCTTCTAACATCTTTTATACCACTTTCCGTATTTTAAACATTTCTATATATTTTTCTAAAAGGAATTTTTGTTTGTATCTACTTGATGAATAAATTGTGTTTGAACATTCATTCGTTTGAAGTAATTGAAGACATTACTACAATTCTGAACTGTGGATTTTTTTTTACATTATTTTACTTCCGATCACAATATATTTTCTTATTTGGTCAGTGTATATTCACCACTGTGGAGGTGAATCAAGACTATGTTTACAACATCATATTGTAATTATTTTTTTCCCACTTGAAGCGCTGACACTTTGTAGAATATTTGTGTTTGAAGGTTTATAGGAGTCACCTTTCATGTGCTTAGCAGCTTTTTACTCCACTAGTTTTAATCTGTTTTTAAAGATTTTACACTGCGCTTTTTTGATTGTATTTTACATTTGTTACGTCAAAGATCTGGACAAAAGGGGCTGAAGAAACAATCTGCCGAAGAATAAATCTGCAGAGGAGTATCTAAGTCTAATGGGCCTGAAAATGTGATGCAAACCTTAACAATCATATTCAAAAGAATACTCAACAGGTCTGAGATCTTCGATCATGCCCACCATGCGCTGAGGCCTAGATCCACCCCTTGAGAATTCCCAAGCAGGGCCGGAACTACCATTAGGTGAATAATGCATTCGCCTGGGGCACCAGTTTGTAGGGGGCGCCCACCATGAGGATTCCTGGTGAGCTGCCTTGCTGCAAGCAAGTCTTAGCAACCCCCCAGTACACCCATTCAACTGCTGGGTTCCTCTCCTCCCAGAAAGAACACTCTGCTTGCTGCATGCAGGAAGAGCCGGAACATGACTTGGTATCCCGGCTGCCCCTGCCTGTGAAAACCGGAAAAACTCTGCAGGGAGCAGGAAGCAGCCTGTGCTCATTGTGCATGGCTCTCCTGCTCCCCCAGCAGAAACATAAAACACTTCCTGCAGGCTGAATGATGGTCCCCTTCTCCATTCACATCACCTAGGCCCATCTGGAGGTAAGGGGATGATTATGTTGTACATGGTTGTATATTGGTGTGTGTGTGTACTGAATTGCTGTGTGTGTAAATAAAGTGTTACTTTATGTAAAGTGGTGTGAGTTTGTGTTTGAGTGATAGTGTATGTTAGTGTGAGTGACACTGTTTATGTCAGTGAGACTTTGTGTGTAAGTTATAGTGTATAAGTGACACTGTGTGTGTATGTTAGTGAGTTTGTGTGTGCTAGTGAGTGTGTAAGTGACACTGTGTGTATGTCAGTTATAGTGACACTGTGTATGTTAGTAAGAGTGTGTGTTAGTAAACGTGTGTAAGTGACACTGTGTATGTCAGTGAGAGTGTGTGTTAGTGAGAGTGTGTAAGTGAAACCGTGTATGTCAGTGAGTGTGTAAGTGACACTGTGTATGTCAGTGAGAGTTTGTGTGTGTTAGTGAAAGTGTGTGACACTTGGTGTGCGTGCATGTCAGTTATAGTGTGTAAGTGACACTGTGTGTGTATGTCAGTGAGTTTGCGTGTGCTAGTGAAAGTGTGTAAGTGACACTATGTGTATGTCAGTTGTAGTGTGTAAGTGACACTATGTGTATGTCAGTTGTAGTGTGTAAGTGACACTGTATGTCAGTGAGAGTTTGTGTGTGTTAGTGAAATTGTGTAAGTGACACAGTGTATGTCAGTGAGAGTGTGTGTAAGTGACATGTATGTCAGTGTGTGTGTGTGTGTGTGTTAGTGAGAGTGTATAATGGACATTGTATGTCAGTGAGACTGTATGTATTAGTGAGAATGTGTAAGTGACACTGTGTATGTCAGTGAGTGTGTAAATTACACTGTGTGTATACATCAGTGAGAATGTGTAAGTGATAGTGTATGCATGTCAGAGTGTGTGCTGGTGTGTGTGTGACCATTTAAAGATATCCTTATATATTATCTTATATTTATAATATGTATGAATATAATTCTATATTAAACCAAAAAAATGGTTTACTTAATGTTCACTGTAACATAAATTAAATACCACCATTATTATAATTTAAATCCCACCAAATGCATTTACTGCCATTCACATTGGCCTTCCAACCTTTAGTACACATAACCAGTAATGATGGGAGATTTTGTTAAGGGGTATAACGCTGGTCAACTCTACACATTAGCAAATGTGTATCTTCCCAAATTTGGGCAATACACTGCTCTCTCAAAAATACTATGTTAACTTGCAGAAATTGCTACAGAAAAACGCATGTCAAAAAAGTTATACATTGATTTGCAAGTCAATGAGTGAAATAAGTATATGATATCAATCAGCAATATTTCTGGTTCCCAAGTGTCTTTTATACAGGTAATGAGTTGAGATTAGGGGCACTTTCTTAAAGGGAGTACTCCTAATCTCAGTTTGTTACCTGTATAAAAGACACCTGTCCACAGAAGCAATCAATCAAATTCCAAACTATCCACCATTCCCAAGACCAAAGAGCTGTCCAAGAATGTCATGGACAAGATTGTAGACCTACACAAGGCTGGAATGGGCTACAAGACCATCACCAAGCAGCTTGGTGAGAAGGTGTCAACAGATGGTATGATTATTCGCAAATGGGAGAAACACAAAATAACTGTCAGTCTCCCTCGCTCTGGTGCTCTCACCTCGTGGAGTTTCAATGATCATGAGAACAGTGAGGAATCAGCCCAGAACTACATGGGAGGATTTTGTTAATGATCTTAAGGCAGCTGGGACCATAGTCACCAAGAAAACTATTGGTAACACACTATGCTGGGAAGGACTGAAATCCTTCAGCGCCCGCAATGTCCCCCTGCTCAAGAAAGCCTGTCTAAAGTTTGCCAATAAATTTCTGAATGATTCAGAGCAGAGCTGGATGAAAGTGCTGTGGTCAGATGAGGCCTTCACAAGCCTCTGCTAATGTGAACCTAGTTTATATTAAGTGACCCATAGGTTCGAGCTCTTTGGCATCGACTCAACTCACCGTGTTTGGAGAAGGATGAATGCTGCCTATGACCCCAAGAACACCATCCCCACTGTCAAACATGGAGGTGGAAACATTCTGCTTTGGGGATGTTTTTCTGATAAGGGGACAGGAAGACTGCACCGCATCAAAAGGACAGTGAATGGGACTATGGCAGAAATATCTTTGCCACGTGTTCTTGGAGGTGCCTGCTTGCCAGCTTCCTGC